CCCCAAAACCCCAAAACCCCAAAACCCCAAAACCCCAAAACCCCAAAACCCCATGAATGTATATTTAGATAGAAGTAACATTAAATATTAAATATGAACTCAAAGCCAAGAAATCAAAGCTTTTATGGAAGTGAGATGTCTTCCTATCCTTACATACTCCAGGATGCTTATCAAGAGCAGCCAAGGATTGCCCATCCTGAAATATTTACAAAGAGTGCTCTAGGTATGCTCCTTTGGTATTCAAATCTGATCTCTAAAATTATATATTTTGATGAACCACTTGACACACAAAAGCATGCATATGTTAGCATATGATATATGCTGACTAGTCTATCACTATCCAAGTTTTTATCCCTCAAACTTTGTTGATAAGTCTTACTTTAAATTTTCAAGAGTTTTAGAAACAGAGCAAGTAGTTTACCTATTTTAGTAATTATAAGAACCTTGCCTTTATAAAGTTGATCATCCCAGCTTGCATCTCTTATTTATAATTAAACCATGCTCAGCTTAAAAATTCTGAGAGATTACTAATTTCATCATTTAGCCAACTTTTGATGACTCAAATATGAAACAGGTCATATAGCAATCCCTCAGGAGTCCACTCATCAAGTCTTTTACTGCGATATAGACGACTTCTGTTTATGTGGTACTACTCTTCTCCAGACACCAAGAGTCATTTCTGATGAACAACCACAAATAAGAGACCAAAAAGAGTTTTCACCAGCAGTTATTGCAAGAAGCTTCACTAATTACTCAATGGGAAGCTTGTCTTACCTGCCTCACTCAGAAAGTTCCTCTGTTGAAACAGGAATTCAGAGGCAGTCAGATGACTTCTTCTCGCCGTCCTGGGTTCGAGCCCAATACAAGTCCAGAAAAGATGTGATCTACAAGGCAATATTCAGGCGAATGAGGAAATTCTTCATGGACGATTTCCTTACAACCATGGGCAAGAAGTCAATAAAATCCAGATTTCCCCAAAAAGTCAAGGATTACTGCAGCTTCAGGTTCCCAGCCTGAGAAAACGAGACTGTCTCGGTTATATTCAACTGAATTATCAACTCAAAAGAGAAAATATGCAAGATTAGGTCCAGAGACCAGCCCTTGAGAAAGAAAGTTTCAGAACTAGTCTATATGTTCAGTGAGAGAAGACTCAAGGAAATGGAAGAACACCCTGAATTCTTTGAAATCTTGATGTACTTCCTCAACCAGCCAAACACCTTGAACTTGATATCAGAAGATGGCACTCAAGAATATTTGCAAAAACTTAGAGAATGTTTGGAGCAACTAGCAATTGTTGCAGCCTACAGAAGATCAAGACTTAATTTATAATTTATCTAAAGTTTGCAAACCTAATTGTTTTTTGTTGTTTAAAACACATTGGTGCTCATTGAAGGGATTTTGCTTGATGAAATATCACCGTGTCTTTCCACATAAATATTATCAAGCACAGATTAGGTTAGGAATATACAAAGTTATTATAACCTTAGCCACTTGTTATTAACAAAAATTTAGCTAGTTAAACTTTGTAAATAGTAGCCAATAAAGTCCTTAGCTTGACCCTAGCATCACATATTCCCTTCCTAGCGTCATCTCCAGATTGCCAGTTTGGCAAATATTTTACAGGAATTCTTCATAATTTCTGAGGAAATATGTACTTCAAAAGAAGTAAAAATAGTAACTGTGCTCAGTTATTTAATAGCGAAACCTGCTCATATAGTTAACCAAGAGGGCCAAATTCAGCCTCCCAAACAGGCTAAATATGGGTTCTAAGTCTGCTCTTACTTTGGCAAAATTAGAGTTTGATGTAAATAGCTACATCAAACTTTTTATTTCTTAATAATTTTTAGGACGATTACTATTTTCTTGCTATCGCGAAGCAGAATTTGCTCTTCATTTATTTGACCTTAATTCTAATGCTCATACAGCATGATTCTATTGACTGATATAACGCTAGAAAATTTAATTGAAAAGGCAAGTTACAAAATCTGGTGATTTCCACATATAAATTATTAATAAATATTTGCATTTGTAGAAGAAATAAAAATGAGCCAATCCCAAGTTCAGTTTTCTCCTCTAAAAATGTATAACCGGGAAGCTGGCCCCCTTCAAGAAAATTTTGTACAACAGCTGAGCCTGAAAATTGGGTTTTGGCAATGTTTATTAAGTACTCATTTTGGAATAAAATATTTTAGTTTACATCAATTTTCCATAAACTTAGAAAAGCCTTTTAATAGCAAGATTACTATTTTTGGTGATGAGCTCCATCCAAGAAACAGATTTGAAGGCCGAGGATTGCTCAGAAACATCACAAAGAGTCTCTCAAAGTAAGAAGTTCCTCAAGTTAACTAAAAGAAATAGAGATGCTTCTCAAAATAATGGAAGAACTTTCAGTACGGCAAACTTTGCATCCTTTTCAAAGCTTGCGCAGAGAGCTGTAGATTCATCATCTAAATGGTTTAGCCCTAAAACTTGGAGATACACTATCGGCCCTACATTTGCTAGCTTATTTCAAAGGATATAGCTTGAATTATAATTTTTTTGAGTTACGAGGGCTCTTTTTAGACATCTTCAACTCAGAGAATGTAATACGGGGTTTTGGGGTTTTGGGGTTTTGGGGTTTTGGGG